ATACACCCTAGAGCCTCCATAATCTCATTCTATTCTTTTTTTCCCCCAAAAATGAATTCTAGTAACGGCGAGACTTTATTGCGCCATTTCAACCCTTATCTGGAAAACGAATTTAAGTATTATCTCATATTTTTCATTGTGTCTGGTATAATAGTTTTATCGATTTTTGCGATCTATTTAAACGTATACAAATTGAATAAATCACGTGATCAGGAAACTGCAGTTTTTCAAATTATCGACCATTTTCATGAAATCAATAAAAAATTGACCATGGCGTTTTGGTGCTTTGTGGCTTTTGAATATTTGTTGTACTACTTGGATTATTTGACCTTGTTTTATTTATTCCTTATCTTCAGTGCGCTACCATTTGCATGTGTATCAGAAGTCAATCAATTTCTGATTGGTTTATTGGCAATTCAACGATTCTTCGTTTATTTCTATCCGAGCACCGAGAAATACTTGAATTTCTCCAGAAGAACGGTGAACTGGATTCTGGTAGTTGCCTATGCATGTTCAATTTCAGAAGGTATTTTTCTATTGAAAACAAGCTCAGAAAAAGAACCAAATTTATCAATATCTGCTATGGAAGATAATTACTCAGTTCTCAGTTACGTGAGTAATTATTTTTTAACCTGAGCAATAAATTTAAATTTCAGGTTTATAATTTATCCCTCCAGGCATTTTTAACTGCCTCTGCTTTATTATACATCCCAATAGTAATTAGTATAAGTAAACTGACTAATTTGGCATCTGCAAAAATCAAAAAAACCCCAAAGATTTGTTGCTTGGCAATTAGTAGTTGTTGTCGCAAAGCAAATGGTACAAATTTATCAGAATTTCCTTTTTTTTATACTTGAATTTCAGTTTTTTCTATTCTATGCCTTGTATGGAGTGTTAGACAATGAAGATAAACCGTTTCTTCGAATTTCTGCAGCAATTGAATGTTCAAAAATTTTCGACGCTTTGCTGATGCCAACAATCACTCAAATCACATATCTTGGATGTAATAGGAGGAATGTGATGGCTTTATGGAAGACGGTTAAGCCCAAATGGTTTTTCAAAAGTTCTAGAAGAATCGATTCGGATGTTCGAGTTCAATACGGGCAGAGAGTTGAGACCACACTTTAGAACCCGGAAATAACGTTGATAAACTTTCGAAATCCAATAATAATTAAATTTCAGCCTCTAATATAGTCATTTCAATCAATGGGCTGGAGTGTCGCGGCAGCAGAGGTTGTACTGCATGACCTCAAATCCAACAATACTAGATCATATCTAGAATGACACAAATAGTCATAAACTCTATTCTCCAACTATTCAACGCTACATATTTGGCGTGATCACTTCCTTATCACCATATCAGATCTAGAGCATAATCGTGGATATGCTGAGGAGATGCTATAAAAGGAAGCAGAATCGCCAGTATGAGGAGACATCTGAATAAAGGAACAATCCCAACTTTAGATCAATTTTCAATAACACGAATTCCAGAATGCTCCAATACTTTCCGATAATGCTTAAAGCGGTTCAGGTTCCCCGAAATGGCAGAGTTGTTCGTAAGATTCGATATGATAAGGAATTCAAGTTTTTGCATTTACTTGTTTGATGTGTTTAAGGAATGTTTAGCTGTTTGAAGTAAAATGTTTAAATTCGAATAGAAAAAAATCAAGGAAAGAATTGTAATAGTGGATTATGACCGAGTTGTTTCATAGGTTATTTATGATTTANAGGGATATTGNGATCCACTGCATTCGATTTACACAATTTGGGTTCGATTTTTTCCCACAGCCATCACATGTCTTTGATTACAAGAAAGGTATGTCATTTGGGTGAGTATTGGCGAGAGCAACAAATCCACAAGTTTTGTGTGGATAATATACTAAAACAGGAACTGATTTGATACTTTTCTGACAAACAACTTACGGCATCCTGATGTGAAGGTTTCATGGCGATGTAAATGAAAACAGGAACAAGAATCTGAAAAAAAGAAGACTGAGAAAATTGAGTTTTTATTTGAGCAACTATTTTTTGGCAACACATCTTCGAAGTTCATCAATTGGAGAAGCTACTAAATCGCCCAATTTTCTGATACTGATAAATATTGGAACGTATAAAGCAGCAGATGCTATCAAAAACTCTTGGAGTAAAACGTTGTAGATCTGGAAGTTTGATTTCAAAAAGGACTGTCAAAAATAGCAGCAAAAATTGAAACCCGATGAATTCAGTTACAGCGCAAAAATACTTGGAAAAATAAATATGTTGATTGTGGGAATACATAATGTAGATACACAACTAGGGCGAATTCAAGAAATGAAGCTCCATAAGCCAATATGATAATCAGATTCATAGTCCATCGTGAAAAATTGAGACGATTCTTAGTACTTGGAAAAAAATAAAGGCAGAATCTTTGAGTTACTAATAACGCCAAAAGAAACTGATTCACTTCAGTTACAGCGCAAAATATGACAACAATAGGGAATAGCGAAATTAAAAATGGATATGAGAGAAAAACTGAATCGACGAAATACACTGCAGCAGCTATTCCATACCAAAGCCATATAGCTTGGATGTATTTTTTGTTGATTTTATAAAAATGGTCAATAATTTGAAAAACGGCTGTTTTCTTATCTCGAGACTTGTTTTTCTTATGTACTTGAACATACAGCCGAAAAGTGAGCGTAGCAAAAATATTGTACACTGTAACAGACGGCACAAGCCATTTCAATAAATCAGCACCAATGTAGCAATTAGGAGTGGAGTTATGTGAGCATGAAAGCGTTTCGTTCATATCTAGAAGTAGGCAAGAAAAATGTGGGAAGTGTTGAGCCGAGCAATATTTCACTTGTCCTTTTTCCTTTATCTGGATTCGGAAATATATGATGTGTTGCTGAACGTTTTTTTTCAAACAAAGAAGTTTCACCTGTTCTATTTCGGGCTTATGGAAATTTATGATGTGATGTTAAGACGCATTCTCTGATAGAACAGAGAATGGTGCTGTACTAAAAATAATGCGCCGATTCGATCAGTTTTTTTACTTGTTCACGGCTCACTTTTTCTTAAAGGGTCACGTAAATCTATTTTTTAAAGATCTTTTCAAGAGTCCACAGATCCTCAAGAGGACAGACAGACGCCTCTAGCGTTTTATATATTAGGAACAGAGATGAGCGGAAGAGATTTACGGAAATTTACGGAAGACGGTTTATTTTCAAAATGAAAAATGCTACCAAAAAGTTGTGAACGGACAAAATCTAGATCTCAATGAGAGTTATTTACCTACAGTACTGGCCAAAAAGGTATTCGCAAACGGTTTTTGGAGAGTAACTTTGCTGAAACTTAAGGGATCGATCTGAAAATTTTACTGTGCATGTCGTACACGGTGACGACAAATTGCGTACAAGAAAATTGCATCATTTTCAGAAATTTTTTGTTTTTTTCAATTTTTTCGTTTTTTCACTTTTTTCATATTTTTATATTTTTGAATATTATGGTTTCTAAGAATGTTGGTTTTGGCTCCTATGTATTTAAAACTGTTAACAGACATGGCCAGACCCCTCGGAAAAAAAAAACATCTCTCAGGACATCCGTAAAGCCATCGTCATCGGCTTCAGAAGTGGATGTTCCAAGGACCTCTTGGTGCAGCAGTTCAATGTTACTAAACGTGCCATCGAGAAGATCTTGAAGCAGTTTCGGGATGAGGTAATATTCAAAAATAGTATAGTTATGGAAAAAATGTTTAGGGAGCCTTGGTGGAGCGAAAATCGCCTGGAAGACCGCGTATCACGTCGAAGAACATGGATCGGAACATCGTCCGAGCTTCAAGAGAGGATCCCCAGAGGAGTTCTACGGACATTCAGATGGTCGTGAAGACTCCAAATGAAGTCACACCATCCCTGAGAACCGTCAGAAGACGTCTTCAAGATGCTGGACTNCCATATGGGACGACGGCCAGCTAAGAAACCATCGATCAGCAAGAAGAACAGAATCGCCCGCGTAGCATGGGCCAGAGCTCATCTCCACTGGGGACGTCANGATTGAGCTAATCACGTGTTCAGCGACGAATCCCAGGTCAATCTGTTCGGTACTGACGGTATCAAGTGGATTCGCCGTCCGGTTGGATGTCGGTTCCCTCCCAGCTACCAGCTCCAAACCGTCAAGCATGGAGGTGGATCGGTGATGGTCTGGGGCTGCTTCTCTGGGACTTCAATCGGCCCGCTGAGAAGAATTACGGGCATCATGGATCGCTTTGTGTATGAAGACATCTTGGAGAACACAATGAGACCCTGGGCACGGTCTACTGTGGGCCGGGCGTTCGTTTTCCAACAGGATAACGACCCGAAGCACACCTCGAAGCACATCAAGGAGTGGTTCCGACGCCGCCACGTGGATCTTCTGGACTGGCCAAGTCAATCTCCGGACTTGAATCCGATCGAACACCTCTGGGAGCATGTCGAGAGATAGCTTAGAGGGGTCCGTGCCTCGAATGCCAACCAGAAGTTCGACCAACTCCAAGATGTCTGGCAGGCCATCCCGATGTCTGTCATCGACACCCTTCTCGACTCGATGCCAAGAAGATGTCAGGCGGTAATCGACGCCAAAGGCTTCCCAACGAAGTACTAAAGCTATTTTATTCATTTTCTATTGTTATTTTTCGTTTACCGGTCTATCCTAGATCTCAGAAGTCAAAGTTCCATTTACCGGTTTTTTGCAATTTTCATGAATTTTTCGATTTTTTTTCAATTTTTTGAAATTTTGACTATTCTTGTTGTTGAATCAGTTTCTTTTACCGTTTTTAACTTTGTCTTAAAATATCAGATTGATCCGGGAAGTTTCAGAAAAGTTATGCTCGAAAAACTATTTGCGAATACCTTTTTGACCAGTACTGTACGTACTCCCCTCTCTTGACCTCTTCTCTATCAGACATCGTATACTTAAATCTAAACTTGTTCTTCTTTACAAAATGATTAGTGACGCCTCTTATATGCCAGAATTATCCTCTTTCTTAAGAATTCCCGACTGTCCTAGGAGACCTATTCTCTCAGATAAATGTACCGATGACTTCTTCTTCTTCACCACCGCCCCTATTTGGAATGCAATTGTAAGGAATACTCCCCAATTTTTAACTCCCGATCAATTTTCTACCTTAATCCAATCTTCCATCACCCGGTTTTAGCTCACCTTTTCCCCTTTTTTTTTAAATACCTTGTCAACCTTACATGTATACCAATTTCTTCCCCATTCTCTAGGTTCATCTCGTTAGGGATTTTATCTAGAACTCCCGTTATAACTTTTGTGCCATATTTTCTTCTGATCAATAAATTATCAATTAAAATTATTTATTGGTATAAAAGTTATCTCATAATAATGATGGGGAGTTGAGATATGGCGTTTGTTCCGTATTCCGTCTTCCGTCTGGCACACAGAAGACGGAAGAAAGACTCTATTTAAATAATCCAACGAAATTTCAAAAAAAAATTTTATGCTAATCGATAGCTCTCATTGAGATCTACATTTTGTCTGTTGACAGCTTTTTGGTAGCATTTTTCATTTCGAAGATAAACCGTCTTCCTTAAATTTCCCTAAATCTCTTCCGCTCATCTCTGATTAGGAAGATATTGAGAGATAGGACACTTTTGAGTTATGAAAATTCCAAATTCGATCCTACCCACCCAGTACGGTCCAAACGATGACAAACTTTGATGAAAAAAATGGAAATTTTTATGGATAAAGATAATGATTACTGGATGGAGATATTGATTCAACTTGGAATAGTTTTTTCTTGCTATTTTGCTATAGTCCATTTCACATTAATTCAATGGTCAATTTTTGGTAATTTTCTAATTGAAACTTGAAGTTTTCAATTTTTCTAATTTACAATAATTCCATATTCTTTTCCCGATTCTCAAAAAACCCCAAAAAACTTTAAAACACAACAATTCATCTCTCTTCGATAGAAACCAAAAAATGGAACAAATCAGCATTTGTCTTGTTCAACACAAGTTCCATTACTATTTCTGGCGAATCCAGCTGCACAAACACATCCGGAAAAACATTGATTGCGTAGTGGGACCTTCTGAATAGTAGCCATTCCGCACACATTGTCAAGTGAGATACATTTGGACCATTCCTCGTTCACAGGACAGTCAGTGGCTGAAAAACTTCGACGTTTAGAGGGAGGGAGCCTCCTTAATTCGAGTTTATAACTCACTCTTAAAACAATGTTTATTGTGAACACATGTTCCGTTGCTGTCCAATTTGTAACTTGGTCTACAGACACAGCCAGGGGTACACATATCTGTGTGACTGTTTTTATTGCATTGGGTGGATCCTGAGCAAAGTTGACGGCATTTTGGAAGGCAATCGGTGTATTCTTCGGTCCCCAAGCAGGTAATATCTGAAGATCAGAACACTGCTTTTGTGTCGAATTACTCAAAAGCCCACTCACTATTATGATCATGATCCGGACAACTGGCTAGTGTAACACACTTCCCATTCTTTTTCACAAATCCGGCTGCACAAATGCACTTCTTATTGCACTTCTTGTTATGTAGTTCTGGACAGTTTGGTTCGGGATTTTTGCATGTTGCAGCGCAATTCTCACATCGGTACTCTTCATTGTCTCCGCAAACTTGCTCCAGTGGACAGTCTTTTGATTTATAGCACTCTCCATTGCTGGATCTAACGAACCCGGCAGCGCACGCGCATCCTTGACCACAGTGTTTGGTGCACATCATGCTCTGCAATGGGTTAGGTTTGCTTTTCGTAGGAGCATTAAGCCGTTTAGTTCTTTTTGGATATTTTAGGGTAGTGTCGTTAAGATGTAGAAATGTTTTTTCGTTGCAGCTAGAATTTTTTGGACCGTTTGGACTATTAGTGCTGAGGGGGACGTTAAGATCGTTAGAAGCAAAGTATCAAGCCTTCAAAAAGGGTCATTAAGACCGGTTGTGGCCGCTAAAATCATTGAATAATTCAATTTCGAATATTTATGTAATTCACATTACTTTATGTACCGTAGTTTCTGAGATATGCGCCTTTAAAGTTGTCGCTGTCCTCCGCCCGGAGCTTGAGGGATGAGGGAGACGCGCCAACTTGAAAAGCACAAAGCTCAGAAACTACAGTAGCTAGGTAATTTGATAAACCATGAAAGTGTGTAGAATTTAATTTTGAGTGTGATTGCACATAGTTGACCTTTTTGTCGTAATTACCCCTAATTAACTCACAATTCCAATCCCTGGACACTTTTCCTCACTGCACTTGTTCAAACAATCGCTCATCGTCTGATTCATTGGACACACACTTAATGGATTTGTAGTTGACGTGGAATTTGTTGAACCACTCGTTCCATTGATATGGATAATTTTGACACAAGCTAACCGGATAGGGCTGGAATTTATTATTGTCTAAAATAAACTTTGAAAATCTTTACCATGGAGCCTTCAAACACGGCAATTCTGTCTCCTCACAAATCTCATTTGATTTACATCTCTTGATGTCACATCCCCACACGCCCTGTCGGACGCATGAGAATGCCTTCGGGCTGAAATTTTAAATTTTTCAGGGGAATTTTGTAGGCCAAAATACTCTAAACTTTGACCTAACACTGTTCTAACAAGCAATCCAGATTTTGCTCTACACATTTCTTCCCATTTGGACAGCTTACTGTACCGCATCCGCTAATGTTTGAAACCTCGCAGTTCAGAAATATCTCATTACAAATCTCGCTATCAGGACGTGTCACATTCCTATAAGTTACTGTAGAAAAGTTACGTGAATTAGATGGCACACAATAGATGCAGGGTGTAATGCTAAATTTGAAGAATGAGCAATGGAAAGCATTTGGGTGGTACCATGGAGGATTAGAACAAACTTCATAGGATTCTTCACAAATTTCGCCGATTGTGCATTTGGCCGCTTTCACAGCCATAGATAGTGCGATTGGGGTTAAATGCCATTGGTACACAAATAAAGGACACTTTTTGGGGACTAAAATATGTTCTTGAACTTGTTAAATACTTTTTTGGGGGTGAAAAAATAAAAATGAAAACAAATGAGCATTTTTATAACGTTGTTAAATTTCAAAAAATTTAAAAATTACCACGGCGCCACAGAGCACTGTACAGTAGTTTCCTCGCAGATCTGTCCCATTGGACACGTCACATTGGCACAACTATCCAAAGTGTCATTCTGGGTTAAGTCCGGAACACACTTGGCATGGCGAGGGCTGAAAAAAAGTTTCTCTGCGAAAATTTTTAAGAGTAGTTTTTTTTTTAATTTCAAAATGTTTTACCATGGAGCGTTTGCACATTTCACCAAGGTTTCTTGACAAGTTGTTCCTGCTCCACATATCAGGGTAGCACATCCACCGGCCAAGTTGTCCACTACAGTAGTATTCACACATGCTCCATAGTTCTCACTGGAAATTTCAAAAAACACTTGAATATGATAAGGTACAGGGCAATGGTATTACATGGTACGACGTGGCAAAGAGAAATTGTATCATATTCTAAAGTTAAATGTCACCATTGGCACGAAAAGTTGCTGAAAAAAGGTGTTTCCAATTACCATGGCAGCGTTGTGCAATTTATCCCTAGATTCTGACACTTGGTTCCTGAAGCGCATCTCATGGTGGTGCACGGATTCATTGGGACTGAAATTCCAACTTAAAGGGATCTGGCGGTTATTCAAGATTGGAAATCAAAAATTTAACATTAAAAATTTACCGTAAACATCGGTTGGACAGTCTTCCAATTTGTAGCACCTGTCGTCGCTGGATCTAACAAATCCCGCAGCGCACGTACATCCGAAACCACAGTATTTAGTACATGGATAGTTCTGCAAAGTATTAGGTTCGATTGGTAGGCCGCTGAAGTCTTCTGAAGTATTTCAGGGTTTTTGGATGTTTCACACCGTTAGGACTTCAGTGTTGTTGAGACCAACAGATGATTATGGTTTTTGGGTAGTTTGAATTGTGTGGACCGTCTGAAGCCTTATGGGACTGCTGAAAAGCTCAAAAATCAACTTAGAAATGCGTTTTCGTATATCTTATTGACCGATACTGTATATAGAAAGTCTGAACCATTGGAACAGATGGGACTGTTAAGATCGATAGAACATAATGATCAAACACAGGGAAGAGTGTTCAGTCCCGTTTGAGTCATTTTAAATTAACAATGATTCTTCTGAAAGTTTAGAACACTTCAGGACTTCTCAAAGCCTTTGTTTTCAGTCTTAATTATCCCATTTAACTCACAAAACCATTTCCTGGACACTTTTCCTCATTGCACTTGTTTATACAATTGGTTCTAGTCTGATTCTGTGGACACACGTTTGGCGGATAATCTGGTGACGTGAATGAATCACTCGTACCATAGGTTGTTGGACCACTCGTACCATTGGTATGAATACTGACACAAGCTATTCGAATTCCGCTGAAATTTTTTATTGTCTAAAATAAACTTTGAAAATCTTTACCATGGAGCCTTCAAACACGGCAATTCCGTCTCCTCACAAGTCTCATTTGATTCACATCGCATGACATCACATCCCCACACGCCCTTTCGGACGCATGAGACAGCTTTTGGACTGAAATTTGGAATTTTTCAGGGGGATTTTCAGCTATTTACCTTTTGACCTAACACTATTCTATCAAGCAATCCAGATTTTGCTCTACACATTTCTCCCCATTTGGACAGCTTGCTGTACCGCAACCACTAATTTTTTGGAAACAGAACATTTAAGGAGTGCTTTAACAGAAAAAAGTTATTCAAAAAAAAATTCCTGTACCAATTTTGCCGATTCTCGCAGTTCAGAAATATCTCATTACAATTCTCGCCATCAGGACATTCCACATTTTTACAGGTTACTGTAGAAAAGACGTGAATTAGATGCCACACAATAGATGCACGGTGTAATGCGAAATTGAAGAATGAGCAATAGAAAACATTTGGGCGGCACCTTCGAGGATTAGAACAAGCGTCATAGGATTCTTCACGAATTTCACCGATTGGACATTTGTCACGTTCACAGGCATAGATAGTGCAGTTGGGGTTAAATGCAATGGGTAGACGAACACAGGACATTTTTAAGGCTAAAATGATTTACTGTATGTGAAAAAACAAAATATAACTTCAAAAAAAGTGTGTTTGAAAAATTTTTTAAAATATGTAGTTTTTGTTTCGAAAATTAAGATGTTTCGTATATTTCCATTGAATAAAAAAAATCCAAAACTCTTTCAATGAGCTCAAACTGGACTAGGCTCCGTCTATTCGAAAATTTCGACAAGACACGCTACGCACGACCGCGACGCTTCCGAAAAAACGGGCGGAGCTTAATCGTGTATGGGCTCATTTTGAAGCATTTTTGAATTCTAATGCAATGTGAGTATCAGAAATATCTAAATTTTCGAAAAAAAAAGAGAAAAATCCAAAAACGAACACAGAACACTTTTTGATAACTGAAATTTGTTTTTGAAAAAGTTAAATCCTTTTTTGGAGGTGAAAAAATGTAGAACAAAAAACAATTGAGCATTTTCATAACATTAAAAAAAATGTTGAAAAAAAAGTTACCACGGCGCCACAGAGCACTGTACAGTAGTCTCCTCACATTCCTTTCCAACTGGACACTTCACACTGGCACAGCTATTCAAAGTGCCATTTTGTGGGGTATCGGACTGGTCTGAAAATTTGGAAAAACATTTCTGAAAACTAAACCATAAAAAAACGAAAAGAAGGGTTGAATGTCTCGCGGTCTTTTCATTCTTGGACTGGCGGAAATTTCAATTTTTTTAAAGGAGGCCAGAGACGAAAGTCTACGGAGTTTTCTTGGAGCGAGATCATGTATTCTGACGGAAAATCGTGCGATTGCGACCTAATGCGCGTTACTTGACGAGCATTTATTTTTTTTTAGTACACACTAGATTTCTTCAATGTAAGGCGATAATTCCAGACTTTTTGTCGATATTCTGTCATTCCATGATGTCGCCGCATGAAAACAGAAAAAAAAACGAAAACGGACAGATGGGAATCGAACGCGTGATGCGCGTTCACGTCTACACCACGCGGCGCCTGCCTTCTACTGCCTTTAAAGGTGGGGGGACAGGAGATTTTTCGTAGTTTTTTTGTAGCTAGAGTATGCATTCTACCGTCACGGTGTACAACGCCTAATGTCACTCTGCGTACAGCTGTCGTCCTTGCCTTTATGTATGCAATCGGGCGTGCGCTTTCTCTTTGCCCGCGTGGCTCAGTCGGTAGCGGCGCCGCACCCTCAATCATCTCCTTCACAAGTTCAACTCCTCGAGGGGCATCTTTGAACGGAATTTCGAGAACATTATTTTTTTCATGTCCCCCCACCTTTAAAACGTTTTCGCATGTACGGCAAAATGGAGTTATGGTTGGATGGCCAAACATATTTTCTGACTGTACTGTGTCATATATCAAAAAACTTAAACTTTGAAATTTTTCATGTCTGGCCTCCTTTAAATCGAGAAGGTTCAAATCCGATCGAATTGGGTCTGAATTAAAATAAATTTTGAAAAACTCACTTCCACTAGATGAAAGTTGTCCGCTGGCGAGTCCAACCAGCAAACTGGTACCCAACAAAACGATCACCTTCATTTCTGTCTGTTGTGTTCCTCTGAGCGAGAAACTTTAAAATCAGGCCGTCAAATTCGCCGTTTCATTGTTGAGGAAGATAATGAAAAGATTGAAGAAATTTCCCGAATTGGTTTTCAATTCGGGAAAATTTTCAAGTGTCCAAAAATGCGAATTTTAATCAAGAAAAAACACATATTTATTCCTGTGACTAATCCTTAAGCCTAAAAAAATAAAAAAAAAGAGATTACACTATTTTTTGAGAATCCAAAAATCGGCTCCGCGTCACTTCGAAACCAGTTATTTCGAAACCGGTTTCTCCACATTTATTTATTATTGATCAGATGAGAGATATGGCTCAAAAGTTATAACGGAAGTTCTAGGTAAAGTGAACATAGAGAATGGGGAAGAGAACAGTAGACGTGTAAGGTTGGCAAGATATTAAAAGAGAGGAAACAGTAAGCGGACAACTAAAACCGGGTGATGGATGATTTGATTAAAGTAGAAAATTGACCAGGAGTTAAAAATTGGGGAGTGTTCCTTACAATTGCATTCCAAATAGGGGCGGTGGTGAAGAAGAGGTCATCAGTACATTTATCAGAGAGAATAAGGGTCATAGGTCTCCTAGGACAGTCGGAAATTCTTAAGAAAGAGGATAATTCTGGCATATAAGAGGCGTCACTAATCATTTTGTAAAGAAGAACAAGTTTAGATTTAAGTATACGATGTCTGATAGAGAAGAGGTCAAGTTGAGAGGGACCATCTTGATAATAAGAGTATGAGATATTGCATTTCTGGAAGACTTTACGGGTGAAGAAACGGAGTGGGGATTCGAGTTTTTGATAGAGTTTGGAATTGGGGGGAGGAGAATAGACTACTGAACAGTACTCAAGAGAGGGGAGTACGTAGGTGAATAACTCTCATTGAGATCTAGATTTTGTCCGTTCACAACTTTTTGGTAGCATTTTTCATTTTGAAAATAAACCGTGTTTTTTTCGGGTTTCGAAATGACTGGTTTCAAAGTTTCATTTAGTTTCGAAGTGTCACGTAGTTTCGAAAAGACCGGTTTCGAAGTGGCGCGGAGCCAAAAAGTCAGAAAACAATTATTTTGAACCCTAGAAGAAGGAATTTTATGAAAATTTGGATAGAACGTGAAATTCGAAAGTTTTTTCCCCGATAGGATTATAACGGATCAAAAAATTCAAAGCGGGAAACTGAAATGGAAGGATTAATGCAACTAATCTCCAACCGCATGTACTTCCGTGTTGTTTTCGGTCTTTTGTTCAAATGATGTACATTTTATGATAGTTTGCGGAAGAGGAATTGGCTGGAAAAAAGAAAAACATTGCTCGAAATTCAGATTCGGCTAGAGATTCCAAACTTTGCTCGAAAAAGCGACAATTCGCTGGAAAAATCAATTTTCGCTTTAAAGGTGGGGGGACATGAAAAAAATAATGTTCTCGAAATTCCGTTCAAAGATGCCCCTCGAGGAGTTGAACTTGTGAGGGCGATGATTGAGGGTGCGGCGCCGCTACCGACTGAGCCACGCGGGCAAAGAGAAAGCGCACGCCCGATTGCATACATAAAGACGAGGACGACAGCTGTACGCAGAGTGACATTAAGCGTTGTACACCGTGACGGTAGAATGCATACTCTAGCTACAAAAAAACTACGAAAAATCTCCTGTCCCCCCACCTTTAATAATTTTAATTTCAATCGAAAGCTCAAATTTCGCTCGTAAATTCAAACTTTTCTGGAAAATTCAAATTTCGCTCAAGAAATATTTCCAAAATCATAGTTCTAATAGATTCGAAAAAAAACGGAAACCATTGATTTTGAGATTCTGAGATTCTGAAATTCTAAGGCACTGAAATTCTGAGATTCTGAGATTCTGAGTTTCTGAAAGTCCGGGATTTTAATGATTTTAAAAGAATTGCTACGTTATCTTTTCTATTTGATCCAAATGTCGATCACAATATTCTAAATTTCTCCAATCACAATCTTTGATCTCATAGTCAGTAATAGCAAAAACGAAAAAAAAACTGAAATTCAGAAAAATAGTTAGAACACTAAAAAATCTAAACATTTTGAAATTGGAAGTTCTGTGTGTGCGAAAAAGGAATGTGCCGAAAAAAAACTGGTAATCCCGATCGGACGGTTTAATGATCAAAAAACTTTGTCATCCTACAATGAACCAATAGAACAAAAACTGCTTTCCTTGACCAAACAAAAATTGAAATCGAAAAATCCAACTTTTGAAATTTGCCTTGAAAACCACAAATTGCGGTTTATGAGATTTTCGACACTTCAAAACTATATACCGTAAAACCTCAATTAGAAGGGATGTCCCTTCTATTTTTCGTCCCTAGGGGGGCACTTCAATTCGAGGGGGCACTTGTATTTTTCGTGGGTTTTAACACAATTTTTTCCGAATTAAAAAAAAAACGGGCACCTGAACTGGCACCTTCGCGGGCGCCGTCCGTGTTGATTTACGAGGCCTCGTCTTTGAATCCGCCATTTTTTCAAACGAAATTAGTTTCTTTGAATTTAGTGGGCATTTCTTATTAAAATTCAGATTTCTTGGTAACATTTTGATTGCTAGAATCTCTATATATTCCCATTCTATATATTCTTTTTTTTAATCAGACAATTTTTCAATCAAAACAACAGAAAAAACGACCGAAAATCAAATGAGGTAGTCAAAGGGGCACTTCAAATAGAGGGGCCCTTCAAATAGAGGGAGCACTTCTATTTTTCCTGAGTTCTATATGGGGGCACTTCAATTGGAAGGGCCCTTCTAATACAGGTTTTACGGTAATAAGACATCGTTCTCTATGAAAAAGTCAACATTTTTTGTCACAAAATTCCGTTAAAGGTGGGGGGACATGAAAAAAATAATGTTCTCGAAATTCCGTTCAAAGATGTCCCTCGAGGAGTTGAACTTGTGAAGGCGAGGATTGAGGGTGCGGCGCCGCTACCGACTGAGCCACGCGGGCAAAGAGGCAGCGCCCGATTGCATACATAAAGGCGAGGACGACAGCTGTACGCAGAGTGACATTAAGCGTTGTACACCGTCACGGTAGAATGCATACTCTAGCTACAAAAAAACTACGAAAAATCTCCTGTCCCCTCACCTTTAATACTGGCAAGACTTGTGAAAAATGTGTCTTTTCTTTTCACTCCCCCTTTTTGGTTTCTCCCCGATTCGTACGGTCTCAAATTCTAATAGTTTTTAAACTTCCAAATTTCTGCTTTTCAGACTTCTCCTTTTCTGATTTTTAGTGATAATTTGGAAATCTCCAGAGATGTTTGGAATGGCTTTTTTGGAATTTTTCGGAATGTCGAAATTACGGAACTTTGGAATCTTGGAATATTCCGATTTTGTGAAGTACTGAGTTTTGGAATATCGGAATATTTAAAAATTTTCAGAATGTTGGTATATTCGGAAGTTTTTTATTTACCAGCCTGTTTGCCGCGCCTCCGGCTTTTCAAAAAGCTGAATGGTGCGCCTTCGGCGCGATTTGACTTTTTTTTCGTCGCTTCGCGATCCACTCTCTCTTAAAAGGTCACGTCAATTTATATCTAATTTTCTAGCTTTTCAAAATTTGCGGACAAACAGACAAATAGACAAACCGAGAAAGAGACGCAACTTCATTTGTTTATTACAAGAATGATTTTTTAAAGTAGAAATTCCATTTTCCAATCACAAAAACGCTAGAAACTTGTGAACATTGAAAAAAAAATTCGTCTAGGCAAGAATGAAAAAGTGATCAAAAATACACAAAATGATCATTGCTGAGTTGTTTCCATATTCTCCATATAGTTTAAAGGAACATTCGGGTCCACTGCATTTGATTTGCAACAATTAGGTTTCAGCGATCTCCACAAAGTTATCAAATTTCTTCTATTACACAAAAGATATGTGATTTGAGTGATTGTTGGCATCAAAAGAATATCAACAGCTTTTGAGTTAAAAAATGCCAATAACATTGGTATAAATTTAGGATCAACCGATTTAATAGCTTCAGCCATGAAGCCATCTGGAGTTACATCAAAAAACTCACAAACCAGAAACATTGTTAAGAAAACCTGAAATAAATATTAATTCAAAAAATTTTTCTTCAAATTCAGATAGCTCTGTACCATTTGTTTTGCTACAACGATTACTAGTTGCAAAGCAACAAATATTTGAGGTTTATTGATTTTTGCAGATGCCAAATTAGCTACTTTACTAATACTAATCACAATTGGAATGTATAATAAAGCAGATGCAGTTAAAAATACCTGGATAGAACCATTATATACCTGAAAATTCATTTAACTTTTCATGTTTAAAAAATAATTGCTCACGTAGCTAATTGAATAATCCTCGTTTTTAAATACATGTACCAATTCCAAAACTGAAATGGAATAAGCAATTATTAAAATCCACTTCATAGTTCTTTTTGAAAAGTTCAAGTATTTCTCGGTACTCGGATAGAAATAAATGAAAAATCGTTGAATTGCCAATAATCCCAGTAGAAATTGGTTGACTTCTGTTACACATGAACATGGTATAACACTGATCATGATAAGAACAACAGCAATATTTTCATGTTCGTAGAAGTACAACAAAATTCCGAGTGACGTCAAGCACCAAAATGCCGTAGTCAGATATTTGTTAATTACGTGAAAATGGTCAATGATTTGAAAAATTGCAGTTTCCTCGTCTCGAGTTTTATTCAATTTGTACACTTTTAAATAAATCACAAAAATTGGTGAAACTATTATACTATAGATAAAAAGAATTAAGAGGATATCTTTTAAAGTGTTTCCATTATTCTGTATATGAAGCAAGGAATTTCCGTTTTCACTAAAATTCATTTTTCTTGAAAACATGCGGAAATGTTTCGTACACAAATGTTTGCAGGAATAGTTGGAAAAGCAGCTGTAAAAATTATTTTTTGAATTAATTTTTCTTGTCACTATCCTTCGATAAATGAAACAACCCAGAGAAAATAAAATCGAGCAACTGGAAAAATAAACATTGGAAAACGGGTTTTCTTTTCAATCATTTATTATAACTCATTTTTAACAAAGAGTGAGGAGCGAAGAGATGAATCAGTAATAGGAAAAAAGGGAATTGCGCCGAAGGCGCACCAGTTTGCTGAACCTCTCTGATCATTGCCGAGTTGTTTCCATATTTTCCATATAATTTGCAGAAATATTGGGGTTCACTGCATTCGATTTACAACGTTTGGGTTTCAATGTTTTCCACAAAACCATCACATTTCTTCTACAGGGTGGGGCAAAAGTTTGGTAAACAAAAGAAGAAATCATAATTTTTCGGAAAATAGTCCAATCCGGGTCAAATTTTGATAGTACTTTATCAAAGAGATTTGTAACTAAATTAAATTATAGTTGTTTGTTTCTGGCACCTCTGTTTCAGATCGCGGGACTCAACTTCTTTGGGTAGCGTCTTTGGCGGCACGGGGGTGGTCTGTGGCCAAACTGTCTCATGCCGCGATAAAAATTTTTGAGAGCACCCAGAAACATGTGAAAATAAACTTGAACATATGGTCTAAAAGTTTCAAGCACCAAAATTCCCATCGGATTGTCGTCTGACTCGAGACAAGCCTTGCCTTATCGGGGATGAAGTTGGAACTTTTGGTTTTAGCACTTTTTGCTGAACACGTTTTTCCGTGTGAGCAGGTTCTACATCTTTTTGGTTAGTTCAATTTTGCGAGCTTTATAGCACGATGACTTACTAGTTAGGCATCATGATTTTCTCTAGAAGTGGTATTCCTGGCCCACTGGCTTGCTTACAAGGATCAGCCAAAAACAGGAAAAACCCAAAGAAGGCGTACAGAAAGTAGTGCCATCTTTGTAAAAATTGAGATTTGAGGAATATGAAACTTTGCACATCTACTAATGAAGAGACGAAGAAAAATATGAGCATAAAATCAATGCACGAAAATTACGTCCGCGCGCGCCAGTTTGCGTCAAACTTTGGTTACCAGACTTTTGCCCCGCCCTGTATTACAAACAAGATATGTAATTTAAAGGTGGGGGATATGAAAAAAAAATGTTCTCGAAATTCCGTTTAAATATGTCCCTCGAGGAGTTGAACTTGTCGAGACAAGTATCGACGGTGCGGCGCCGCTATCGACTGAGCCACGCGGGCAAAGAGGCAGCCGGCACCGGATTGCATTCATAAAGGTGAGGACGACCGCTGTACGCAGAGTGACATTAAGCGTTGTACACCGTCACGGTAGAATGCATACCCTAGCTACAAAAATCCTACGAAAAATCTCCTGTCTCCCCACCTTTAAGTGATTATTGGCATTAAAACAGTGTCCATTACTTTGAATAATTGGAATGCCAGTACAGTTGGTGTATATCTTGAATCAATTGATTTTTTGGTTTTTCCGAAGTCAACTTTAATACTATCTAATAGCTCAAATGTTAGGAACATTGAATATCGAAACAACTCAGCAATGAACAGTTTATGGAAGTCATTGACGTCGGCCCCTTTATTCAGAAATTCTTCTAGATTTCATTCTTATGTTCGGATGGAGCCAAACAATCAGTATCATCTCCTGAGAAGTATAAATCTCTGATCAGTTCCAACTTCTGATGAGGATCAACTCATGATGTATCACCCACACCGGAGCAGCCAAAACGACTGAAGCTACATCATCTCCTGCCGACCGATCCGACACCGATTCTGAACCACAGATCGTCCAATGGATCACCGACTCAGAACTCCATCATTGAACCCTCTGTCATAATAAAGTCGTCAATTATTAACTCTGTACAACATACTCGAAAGACCGTCCTGATCGTGAATAGATCTCACTGATCTATATCTGGGACGGCACGCGGACAAACTGACAGAGATATAGACAAAGAGTCACAACTTTATTTGTTTATTACCAGCTAGCTGGTGCGCCTTCGGCGCGATTCACTTTTTACTGGTTCATCGCTTCGCTTCTCACGTTTTCTTTAAGGGTCACGTAACTATACTCATTTTTCAAGTTTTTCAAAAGTCCACAGCGTGACACCAGGACCGACAGACATCTCTAGCGTTTTATATATAAGGAAGATAAGAATGATGATTTATTATTAGGTTGTTTGGAAAGTTCCCGTCATTTTTAGTGCCAGATACATTCAAAGTAAAACAGGTCAAAACGATGTCGTATAAATTGAAGGTAATGACCATTGTTATCAATGACTATCTGCCAACGCCCCACTAAATTGTGGGTGCCTTGCTCCCACAACTCCGGTCACAGCGAATCAAAACCCAAGCCAACCCCTTTTTGATATCCTGTTTTGAGGTGAATTTTTTTCAATCAAGATGGCGTTAGAAATGGCTGCATAGGTGGTAGTCTGAGAAAACAAGGTTCGGGCTACACGGTGGATAAGGCAGAATTGTCCAGCCACATTCAGCGAGATCGGCCTGGGTTTTCCTTAACGCATGAGGTTACGGATTTTAATCGTTGAAAATTAATCTTTGTTTTTCTCTCCAACAGAGATACACATGGAGTCTGAGTTATGTCGCTTGACAAGAATAGGTACCAGTCTTCAAATTGACACCATTACCTGGCAGCTCCCATTACTCCACTTCTTGGTAGACCACATTACCGACAGTATCCCATTTTTAACATGAATTTCACGTTTTGGGACGTCTGGTGGTTGAGTGCCTTTGTGATCTCACTTGGCATGTCGCTTATTGTAATCATGCATTACCCATCATGTAATCATGCATTATCACCACTAGCAATGGTTTGATTCCAACATTCATATGTGCAGCGCAGGATGAGAAGATTCAGACAGGTGCCCACACGTGAAACGAAGTTGCGTTGAGCGAAAAGGTGTGATCCATATCTTTCCATTTTTTCTTTGACTTTACCGAGAGTTTCCAATTCATGGTTTTTTTACGAAAAGCTTGTCACTGATGTACTTGATATATCCCGCACAGTTTGAGACGGGTCCCTTTAGATCCCGTTTTTTAATGGATCCAAACCTAAGCCTGTTTTCCTTTTTGAAGGGGGGTTTTCGTCAAACGAGAATTCCCCTTTTTCAAATAGATAAAGCCGGGGTGTAATGATAGTTTGAAAGGGTGCATCTTCGTTAAAAACATCCACTAATCGGAGCTTGATTCCAGCAATTTTCCGCTCAGATGGAAACAAAAATAAAATGGTCGTCCAAAAATGGAAATTGTCAGAGGCGAAAACGTTAAAGGGGGACTCCGACCAAAAATTTTTATTGCCCTAAAATGTTTCAAAAATATGTATTTTCCTAATATTATTGCGAAAAAATTCAAAAAAAAATCCTAAATCCCCGAAAAACGGTGTTAAAAAAAAAAGGATTTGAATTCCCGCGCAGTGAGAAACCTAGGCCACGGCATCATAGCTCCTTTCTGACATGGAAATTTTTCCGGATTTTTACGGTGTTCATGTCCGGCAGGTTAAAAATGTAAAAAACCACTGTCGGCCACTTGAAAAAACGGTTGTCAGGCGCTGTGGCCTAGGTTTTTCACTGCGCGGGAATTCAAATCCTCGTCCCTCCTAGCAACTTTTTTTTTGAAAATTTTTCGCTTTTAACAGCATTTTTCGGGGATTTCGGATTTTTTTCGAATTTTTTCGCTATAATATTAGGAAAATAGACAATTGTTCAAACATTTTAATGCAATAAAAATTTTTGGTCGGAGTCCCCCTTTAAGCATATCTCACTACGCGAAAAGAAGAGAATGATCTCCGTTTTGGTCTAGACACTATTAGACCCCACTAATATACTGATGAAACGATAGCTCCCTCACTTTTACCCCGTCGTTAAAAACCAAGTTTAAAACAGTAGATCAAAAATGACAGGAACTTTCCAAACAACCTAATAGAACCATGATATCTGAATAAAAAAATTGGATAAGAAATGAAAAATTCCAGCTGCTTTCCCAACGATTTCAGATAGAAACCTGATAAGAAGTTTATCACCTTGGTTATTTCCGCCTTCATATTCACTATTCAATCTTAGCTCTTTTTGTTTCAGGAGAAATGAATTTAAGTGACAGTGGAAAAATATTGAGCACTATGGATCCTGATCATAAAAACGGTTTAAAAGATATGCTCTTATTTCTATTTGTCTATGGTATCACAGTTTTACCAATCTTCGTGATTTATTCAAAAGTGTACAAACTGAATAAATCGCGAGACCAGGAAACTGCAATTTTTCAAATTATTGACCATTTTCACGTAATTAACAAATATCTGACTACGGCATTTTGGTGCTTGATGCCACTCGGAATTTTGTTATACTTCTACAAACATGAAAATATGACTATTCTTCTTATCATGATCAGTGTTGTACCATTTGCATGTGTAACAGAAGTCAACCAATTTCTACTGGGATTATTGGCAATTCAACGATTTTTCATTTATTTCTATCCGAGTACCGAGAAATACTTGAACTTTTCAAAAAGAACTATGAAGTGGATTTTAATAATTGCTTATTCCATTTCAGTTTTGGAATTGGTACATGTATTTAAAAACGAGGATTATTCAATTAGCTACGTGAGCAATTATTTTTTAAACATGAAAAGTTAAATGAATTTTCAGGTATATAATGGTTCTATCCAGGTATTTTTAACTGCATCTGCTTTATTATACATTCCAATTTTAATTAGTATCAGTAAACTGACAAATTTGGCATCTGCAAAAGTCAATAGACCTCAAATATATGTTGCATTGCAATTGGTAGTTGTTGTAGCAAAACAAATGGTATGGAACTATCTGTTTTCAAAAAAAAAAACGTTTTGAAATGTACTAAAATTTCAGGTTTTCCTAACAATTGCTCTAATATTTGTAATCACGACTAAAGCCAATGAAACTGTTGATTCGAAGTATATGTCACTTGAATGGGCATTTGGTCTTACAAAAGTTATCGACACGTTTTTAATGCCAACAATTACTCAAATCACTTATCTTGGATGTAATAGGAGAAATGTGATGACTTTATGGAAATCGCTGAAACCGAATTGTTGTAAATCAAATGCAGTGGACCCGAATGTTCCTTTAAACTATATGGAGAATATGGAAACAACTCAGCAATGATCATTTTGTGTATTTTTGATCACTTTTGAAATCTTTTTGCCTAGACGAATTTTTTTTCCAATTTTCACAAAAAATCAAAATTATGTTGAAACTCACTAAAACTTCAGGGAATTCTCAAAAACGGTTTTCAGGCCTATCTATGTGCTGCCCACAAAAAATTGAGCTGAAAGCTTCGCAACAGAAATTTTTTGTAACATTTTTTCGTGATTAACTCAAATTCTGTGACCTACTGTAAATTTGGTTGCCGTGTTTTTTTTGACTGCAAAACATTCTAGAGAATTCCAGGACAGTTTAGAGTACTCTCGAAAGCTCTACATAAAACAATTGGCACAAACCACTTCATCCATGCAATCGGTATACCATTGCAATTATAATAGTACTTAGGTGAGCAAACAAGCGTTTCGTTCATATTTAGGAGTAGGAAAGGCAAAAATGGGAAGTATTGAGCCGATGAAACGATGAAATTTCACCTGTCCTATTTCTGGAATTTCGAGAAATATGTAACTAGTTTTGGAAATATATATATATATATGATGTGAAATTCGTTAATCTTTGGACTTTACGAAATTCATGTGATGAAAGTACCATTTTCCAGACCATAAGTTTTATTTAGGTCCTTTTTTTTCAATTCCCAATTTTCCAGATATTGAAAAAAATTAGAAACCATGAGTTTTCGCTCCATTACCTTGGCTCCTATAAGAGATATCAAAAAGTGATTAACTGATAATAAACAAACTAGAAAATCGAAATTAAAATGAAAATTAGAAAAGTAAAATTTCAAATCGAAAAAATCAAAAAAAAAAGTTCAAATAAGCAATTCAAAACGTCCTTCTTTTTCATAAAATCGAAGAAATGCAGGAGTTCCATCTTTTTTGGAAACCATCACCGAACCGTAAATTGCGCGGATATTGTCACCGATTCTAAAAAAAAGGATATTTTTTAATATTGTAAAAAAATCTGAGAATTTTAGAAACTTCAGAAAAATCCCAATTGCGCGAAAAATTCGGAAAACTCCCAAATTTCAAGAAAATTAAGAAAATTAAGTAAGAAAATTAACCAGAGAAAATCAGAAAAATCGAAAAAATTTTGCACCTTCTGATTTTTTGAATTTTTGAATTTTTGAATTTTTGAATTTTTGAATTTTTGAATTTTTGAATTTTTGAATTTTTGAAGTTTTGAATTTTTGAATTTTTGAATTTTTGAATTTTTGAATTTTTGAATTTTTGAATTTTTGAATTTTTGAATTTTTGAATTTTTGAATTTTTGAATTTTTGAATTTTTGAATTTTTGAATTTTTGAATTTTTGAGTTTTCGAATTTTTGAATTTTTGAATTTTTGAATTTTTGAATTTTTGAATTTTTGAATTTTTGAATTTTTGAATTTTTGAATTTTTGAATTTTTGAATTTTTCTAAAACTCACAATTTTTCTATACTGGTTCTCAAATCCTTTTGATCCTTCAAAAAAGGGACTCCATTCAATTTCAAGTCCTCGTTCAAGTTTTCACTCTTCACCGATAACCATCTAAGATTACTATAGCTTCCAGCAGTCCATTCTCCATAAAAATCGATAATTGATTGATTGGAAATTTCAGATTCCGATAATTCAATTTCCACACAGTTTTTGAAGGGTTCCAAGTTCTCGATCCACCACGAATTTTTAATAGTAGCAGATTTTGAATAAAATTCAAAATCTCCGGGATGTATTTCGAATTCAGAGGTGATTTTCAGGGTTTCTGTGACCTCTATAGCTTCAAGAATTTCTTTAAGATCACATTCGAAACTTCCAATTTCCAATTTTCGAATCGAAGTTTGATTTTTCCAGCTCAAAAATTCAAGAGCCATCATCAACGCCTCATCTGGAGTTCTCTCATCTGATTCAATCGATAAAACTGAGCAATTTAAGATTTCGTTCAAATGAATGAACATATCCTTGAGCCCATAATGCACATTGTTCCAAAAACTAATGACATTTTTGTTTTCGAAAATTGTGGGAATTTGAATTTCTCCGTAATTTCGAAATTCCCATTTTTGATATTTCCACATCCAATTCTTTTCGTAGGACCGGAAGAAATGGGAATTGTCGAAACCAATTGTGTCCAAAGAGAAATTTAGGGTCACTGAGAACTTTTTGGATTTCACTCGACGAAGCCTTTTGGAGCTTCTTTTGGAGCAATGGGAGAAATTGAATCTGAAATTTGTATTTTTGAATTTCTGGAATTCTGAATTCCTGAGATTTTGGATTTCTGGAGTTCTGGACTTCTGAATTTCTGGTATTCTGGGTGTCTGGAATCCTAGATTTCTGAAATTCTGAATATCTGGAATCCTGAACTTCTGGATTTATGGATTTGTGGAATTTCGATTCTCTGGAATTTCGGATTTCTCGAATTCTAGATTTCTGGGTTTCTGGGTTTCTGAATATCTGAATTTTTTGATTTCTAGATTCCTGGATTTTCGAATTTCTGGAATTTTCAAATTTTGGAATTCTAAATTTCTGGAATTCTTAAATTCTGGTATTTTGAATTTCTGGATTTCTGAAAAAAAAACCCTTCAGAAAATCTTAAATTTGCTGAAAAACAAAAATTCAAAATTTTTCTAAAAATAACTCAAATTTTTTTCTAAAAATAACTTAAATTTAAAACTCAAATTTCCAGAAAATTAGAACTGAAAATGTGAATATTTGGTAATCAGTTTTTATGACAATATTCAAAATATTTTCACAAATTCCCAGAAAGTTAAAATTCAGAAATACGTTTTTCAAAAAAAAAAATCCCAAAACATTCAATTTTCCCAGAAAATCGAAAAAAAAACATTCTCAAACTCACAGTAAAATCAGAAAAGTGCAGCAAATTTGAAATACTTTAATAAAAATTCGAGAAAATTAGAATTTTTGTTTTCCAAAGATTTTCAAAATACTGTAAACACTCTAATAGAACGCCACCCGAACGTCAAACTTGAGCTCGTGTATCTCATTTTCTGTGAGAGATATCAAAAAGTAGTTAACAAGTAAAATGTTGCTGATAACATGATAAACATTTTATCAGTTGACAACTTTTCGATATCTTGCCAAAGAAGTTAAATATATAGGCTCAAAGTGGACGGTCCGGGTGGCGTTCTATTAGAGTGTTTACGGTAATTCGAAAACTCGACAAAAAATTCTTGATAATAAATTTTAAAAAACTTACACATCCACTGCGCTCCAGAATTTAATAACATCATGTAAAGCAACATCAGGTAGCTTCATCAGTTTGAAATTTTCATCATCCTCATAGTTAGTATCGAAATAAGAAGATTCCATAATTACCTGAAAAAATTGGTCTTAGAAAGTCATAATTGAGGTATTTCGTAATAATTAAGATTTGAAAAAGATAGTTTCAAAAAAATCTATTATATAAAAAAAATCAATTTTTTCAGAAGTATATAATTCTAGAAAACGGCTGAATGAATAAAAAGATTATGCAAAAAAAAAAGAGAAAAAACCGTTAGCAAAACTGGGAAAAAAATACGAAAAATGAGAGAAAAACGATAAGAAATTGGCAAAAACTTAGCCAGAAAGGGCGACCTTGAGTCTGGGGAAAAAAAGAAGATGGCCTCGATAGATAAAAACAATTTATCAATGAGAATATACCGGTATGAAACAGGAAGGTAAAATGATTGATGACGTCAGAGTAATGCATAAAAATCGAAAATTCGGCAAAAATTCCGAATTTCCAAATAAAAATTCAAAAAGTTTTAATTTTTATGAATTTTTCTGGAAAGTCTAAAAATCCGATAATTCTAGATTTTTTTTGTTCTAAATTTTTTTCAGATATGAAAAAAAGGCGAAACCTGAAAATTTCATAAATAAATTTGCTGACATTTTTCACGAAAAAAAAATCGATTAAACGCACAAAAAGTGCAAGTACACAGATAGATTATTTTAATTCAAAGAGTGCATTTTTTTGGAAAGAAATATGATTTTTTAAAGGAGACCAGACACGAAAGTCTACGGGGTTTTCTTGGGGCGAGATCATGCAATCAGACGGAAAGTCGTGCGATTGCGACCAATGCGCGCTACTTGACGAGCATTTATTTTTTTTAGTACACACTAGATTTCTTCAATGTTAGGGGATAATTCCAGACTTTTTGTATTCTGTCATTCCATGATGTCGCCGCATGAAAACAGAAGAAAAAACGAAAAAGGACAGGTGGGAATCGAACCCGCGAAGCGCGACCGATAGACAAGCGCGTTCACCTCTACGCCAAACGGCGCCTACCGTCTGCCGCCGCTTTGTAGAACGTTCGCGATCTCGCTTGTACGGCAACATGGAGTTATGGTTGGGTGACCATACATATTTTCTGACTATACTGTGTCATATATCAAAAAACTAGAACTTTGAGATTTTTCATGTCTGGCCTCCTTTAAGAAGACAGTTGGAAAATTTGTTCTATCAAATTTTCAAGCAAGAGGGATCAAACTACATAGATGTAAAAATAAATTGAAATTTTTGAAACTAAAAAATTCAAATATTCAGAAATTCAAAGCAAAAAAAAAAACTTTAAAAAATAGACGAATTTCAAAAAAAACTTCATTTTTCACACATTCATAAAATACAATTAAATTTGAGTTCAATCCTTTTTTGGTTGACGTTCTTCATCCGAATCTAAGCGCACGGAAAAGTTGGTACAGTCCCCTACTAAAATCAGCAACCCATCCTTTTCGAACATATTTTCCAGATTTTCCAGAATTTTCCGGGGAACACAATCCATTAGAATCGGCGGTTCGATTTTCGGAGCATCGAATTCCTGGAGGACCAGCGAGAATTGGGGATTTTCTGAAATTTGATCTGGTGGACAATTGTGACATTTTTCAAAAGTTTGATCAGTTTAAGACTAAAAATTGAGATGTTTTAAATGAAATTCAAGATTTTTTAACTGCGTTAAACACTCACCCAAAATCCAAAACAGTCGTAGTGATGGACTCTCCAGTGTGTTCGCATTTCGTATGAACACAAGCGACTTCCATACTACCAGCATTCGATGCTACGTGGAATATAAGTGCCTTCGAATTTTTGACATTAAATCCAAAAATATATCCATCCCCATATTCCACAGACTTGTCTGGACATCCTCCAGAAGATTCCAACTTTTCAAGAATCTTCGTTTCCAATTTCGGATTGTAAATCAATTTATTCATATTTGCTATGGATAACTCGTTGGCGTATCTGCTTCTGAGGGCGTTGATCTCATCGGCGCAACTCTGGCGGTTACTGTAGGCGATGGACACCAGTAGGAGGAGCAGGATGAGCAATTTCATCATTTGAATTTGGCGGGGAACTCAAATTTTGAAGGGGATTCTGTCAAGCTTATATAGTGGGGTTTGAACAAGATAAGAGATCGTTATCAGTGAAAAAACACCAAAAAAATAAGCTCAAAAAATCAGATTAAGACAAGAGATAGTTATTTCTAACTTTTAGAGGTTTCAGCCTGTTTTTTTTTCTTCCAAGTTTTCAGTGTTTTTCCACTAATAACGATCTCTTATCTTGATCGAACTCCACTATATAAGCCTGACAGAATTCTCTTTGAAAATTTGAACTTCCCGCCAAATTCGAATTATGAAATCGCTCATCCTGCTCCTCCTACTAATGTCCACCGCCTACAGTAACCTTCCAAGATGCACCAATGAGATCAACGCCATCAGAAGGCGATACGCCAACGAGTTCTCTACAGCCAATATGAATAAATTGGCTTATAATCCAAAATGGGAAAAGAAGATTCTGGGAAAATTGGAATCTTCTGGAGGATGTCCAGACAAATCTGGGGAATATGAGGATGGTTTCGTTTTTGGATTGAATATCAGAAATTGGAAGGGATTTCAACTCCACGTGGCATCGAACTCCGAAAGTATGGAAATCGCTTGTGTAGAGACGAGATGCGAAAGGGATGGAGAGCTTATCACTTCGGCTGTGTTTGATATCGGGTACGTGTTTCACGTGATTTGAAATTTTGGAATTTCATTTTCAAAATCTGGAATTTCAGTTTTTCCGAGCCCACGCAAAAAATGAATTGCTACAAATTTTGAATTTCCGTTAACAAGAAAACTTTTCAAAAATTTATGCGAAAAACCAGAAATTAGTTAAATTCCATTTTTTTAGTTGAACTCTCATCTCCACCATAGATCACCAAGCTGAAAATGTTTAACTTTGGGGAGAAAAATACAGTACACACCATGATATCAACAACATTTTATCAGTTAAAGGTGGGGGGACAGGAGATTTTTCGCAGTTTTTTGTAGCTAGAGTGTGCATTCTACCGTGACGGTGTACAACGCTTAATGCCACTCTGCGTACAGCCGGCGTCCTCGCCTTTATGTATGCAATCGGGCGCCGGCTGCCTTTTTGCCCGCGTGGCTCAGTCGGTAGCGGCGCCGCACTCTCAATCCTCGCCCATGCTAGCTCAACTCCTCGAGGGGCATATTCAGACGGAATTTCGAGAACATTATTTTTTTTCTTGTCTCCCCACCTTTAACCACTTTTTGATACCTCTCACAGAAAATGAGATACATGGGCTCAAATTTGACGGATCGGGTGACGTTCTATTAGAGTGTTTACGGTATTCGAAAAAAAAACTTTTTTCTCAAAATTCCAGTTAGTTACTTGCCTAATTTTCCACAAAACCAATGCACCAAAACCATTAGCAAATATATAAAAAGAAAACCAAATTGGCATAGATATAAGAGTACCTGGAACATTCCGAATTTCAGAGAATATATTGAAAATTTTCTTACATTTAAAATAATAAAAGTGCTTCCCGGCATTTGGATCCGTGGTAAAATGGTTGTAAAAATGAAAAAGACAGCCGAATCCAATGAAAATGTTGAAAATCTGAAAATAATTTGTTGATTTTCGCAAAACCAAAAACGTTATTTACCGCTAAAATAGACCATATTTTTAGAAATCCTTGTGTGATTCGAGAGGTAATTGCAATAGTTGTGAACCACAAAATACAGTTGTAAATCATGAAAAACATCAGAGGGATAGCGACGTGGCAGAGATTATCAACATCTTTTGCGTGGCGAATTCTGGAGGATGATATTAAAAAAACAAGTTCTTGAGAAAATTTTTCTCAACTTTACTAACAGATCAACAACTACAAAAACCCATTCAATTGCCAAAGAAATAAAGAAGAGAAATGCCATGTTACTGAGATAGTCCTTCAAAAATTGATGTTTGAAATTGAAATTAATTCTCAAAAGTTCGAAATTTTCAAAAATTCACTTTATTATTCCATTTTTTCGATTTTCCCAACACATTTTTCATTAAAATATCTGATTGTTCGTCTGCAATCGATTTTGATATTTCCGACATTTTTTTTTGGAAATAGTTTTGGTTGGAAAATTTTGATTTTTGGCAATCTATTTGAAAAATTGAGGATAGAGCACGCGAAAGAAAAACATATAAAAAATTTTTTGGTTTTGAAACTTTTTTAAAAATCAGTTTTTAGAGCCCACGCAAAAAATGAATTGCTATAAATTTTGAATTTCCGTGAACAATGAAAATAACTTCTGAAAAGTTCATTTAAAATATCAACATTTAGTTAAATTCCATTTTTTTTAGTTGAACTCTCATCTCCACCATAGATCACCAAGTACATTTCATCTCCATAATAGTCACGTTTCATATTGTTGAAAATATTTAAATTTGGGGAGAAAATTTTAGTTTCAAAATTCCGAAATTGCTCACCTGATTTTCCACAAAACCAATGCACCAAAACCATTAGCAAATATATTAAGAAAAACCAAATTGGCATAGATAATAGAGTACCTGAAACATTCCGAATTTCAGAGAATATATTGAAAAGTTTCTTACATTTAAAATAATAAAAGAGCTCCCCGGCAGGCGCTATACTAGTTGGTAGGGGTCACTTTTTTTCGCGATTTTATCACTTTTTTCGACATAAAAATGATTGCTGATTATTTCTATGATGTTTTTAAGTTGTTAGGACACAAAAAATTTTCCATCAAAAAAAAAATTTTTTTCTGAAAAAAATTTTTTTTGCCGAAAATTTCCAAAAAATAGCTTTCAAAATATAATTCTCGGATTTTCTGATGCCATCAAAAATTTTTTAGCAGTTTTTTTTCATTTTTTTCAAACATTTCAATTTATTTTTTTCGTTTTCACTTAGAATTTCTTCTGAATTTGCAGATTTCTTTCCTGGAAGCCTAAGCCTATTTCAGAAATGGCAATAGTTTTAACGGAGGAGCTGCGAATTTGTCCTCAATTTTCTAGGCTTAGGTAAAAATGGTAAAAGCTAAAAACAGTATATTGCTCATTTCAAAGTTGTTGTTGTTGTTTACGTTTTAGTCGAGTTACTTCTCCTAAAATAGTTGAACTAGTTCGTCAAAATGTCTGCTCAGGCTGCTCTTTTAAGCCTTAGAAGCTTCAATTTATTCTCTGGATGGCCCGAAGTGGCATCGATGACCAAGGACGAGTTTGACGATTATCTCGCCGCAAGAGGTCTCTTCTGGAAAAATTGTCCTTGTCCGAACTGTCATGAACCGAGACGCATCACTCATGAGATCAGTGAGAGTGGTTAGTCGAAAGACGAAAATTGCGATAAAATAATTAAAATCCATTCAGGTGAACCCATTCGATTCAAGTTCGAATGTAACAAAAGAAAATGCAAAGCTTCACGCCTTTTCGTCAAAGTAGGCCTGTTGAAAGACACATTTTTCGAAGGTCTACACTGCGATCGCAAAAAGCGTTTCCTTTTCTCCTTCCTCTACGTCACCTCTTCCATGAAAGTCGAGGAAATGGCACGTAATGTTGAGGTAGACCCAAACACATGCGTGCAATGGGGTCAATGGATTCGTGATGTGATGGCCGAGAACTTCAACAATCCAACCATCCAAATCGGGGGAGTCGGTACCATTGTGCAAATTGATGAAACAAATATTGTCAAGAGGAAACACAATGTGGGCCGAATGGCATCGAGTTCCTGGAGGACCAGCGAGAATTGAGAATTTTCTGAAATTCGAAATTTGGGTGGCAGGTTTTCGAAGTTTCAGGAATTTCATATTTTTAGAAATTTCAGCATTTTCTTATATTTCTGGAATAGAGAAGGTTTCAACATTTTTCGAAATTCAGGTTTTTAAAAAATCCGATTTTCTAAATTTCCTGGAACTGTGCTAAAACCTAATGAGATTTAGATAAAACTTATCAGCTTTAGACTGAAATTCCAGATTTTGAAAATGAAATTCCAGATTTTCAAACAACTTTGAATACTTACCCGATATCCACAACAACCGAAGTGATAAGCTCTCCAGTATGTTCGCATTTCGTTTGAAGATTCAACCAAACACTTCATTCAACCAAATACAAGTAAATTTTTGTTCATTCGATTCTTTCGTGATAATTTAATTCCATCCGAACCAACTATTAATTTTCCTGTCGATTGCTTTTCCTACTCACTGGCCTACTCCTTTTCGAACATATTTTCCAGATTTTCTAGAAGTTTCCAGAGAACACAACCGATTGGAATCGGCGGTTCGGTTTTCAGAGCATAGAGTTCCTGGAGGACCAGCGAGAATCGGGGATTTGCTGAAATTTGAAAAAAAATTATAGAATTTGTTCACACAAGTTCCAATTTTTTATTTTAACATTTTTTCAAAAGTTTGAAATTTCTGATTTTTGAAATTTGATTGGCAAAATTTCAAACTTTCTGGAATTCCCGATTTCTAGAATGTCAGCATTTTTTAAAGATTTCTGAAATCGAAAACTTGTCAAGAATAACATAATTACATAATTGCAATGTATTTGCAACAACAATAAAATAAAATTTGTGTGAAATAAAAGGGATCGGTCAATATAAGAAACGAGAACAAGAAGAAGGAAGGGGGGTGGAGTCCCACCGTGGGGATTATCAGGAATTCTGTTGGAGGTTGGGTGTTCAACAAACATTTTTGTAAGAATCAAAAAGTGGAGAGCGCAAGACGGAGGAGAGAGGATCTTTGACATAAATTCAAAAAGAATTCACACGAAATTATTGTTTCAGGAATGAGGTATAGAGACAAAATAATAGAAAAAATGTGATGAGAGAAAAGGGCATATTGTTTAAACAAATGTCATTCCATCGAGAGTTCGGTTACTCTGAAGGCAGTTCGTCAGTTGTGAGAGGTCATGGAATTGCGACAAATCGACCAGCCAAACTGAAAAATTGAAAAATTAAATTGAAAAAAAAATTTCAACATTTTTCGGTGATGGCTTTAATTTTAGGAATTCTAAAATCTAAGATTCTCACAATCTTAATATCAGAAGTAAACTTCATTTTTGTTATTTTATTAATTGGCGAAGCGAAATTGCAAAGATTTCCAAGAAATTTTTCAGAAATCGAAAACGTTCAGAAATTTCTGAACATGTTGAAATTCGTTATTTTCAGATTATCGATAATGAAGTGAATGTTTTTTTGGAATTCTGAATTTTTGAAATTGAATTTTAATTTTAAAGGACTATCTCTACTGCGTGGTTTTTCTTTTCTCCATTTCTGGGGCAATTGAATGGGTTTTTGTAGTTGTTGATCTGTGAGTACACTTGAGAAAATTTTCTCAAAATGGTTTTCTACTTTATTTTCCAGAAATCGCTACGCAAAAGATGTTGATAATCTCGGCCACGTTGCTATCCCTCTATATTTATTTAGCGTTTACAACTTAATTTTGTTGTACACAACTGTTGCAATTATCTCTCGAATCACACAAAAATTTCTGAAACTAGGCCCAGTATCCAAGGGTACATCGAAAAAGGTACATCGAGCTCTTAGGGTACATTGGTTCCAAGGGTACATAGGATTGCTCGCTACATGTAGGTGGACAAAAAAGTAAATCAATATTTTTATCCATACTATTTTGATTTCTGCTCAAAATTATAGGCTTAGGCTGAAACGCCTTTCAGTCTAAGATCCCATGTGCCCTCAGAACCAATGTACCCTAAGAACTCGATGTACCCTCGATGTACTCTTTTTCGATGTACCCTTGGATTGTGGGCCCAGAAACTATGGTCTATTATAGGGGTAACTAAATTTTAAAAAATTTGTGAAAATTAAATAATTAATTTCAGATTTTCAACATTTTCATAGGACTCTCGTGCCTTTTTAATTTTTACAGCCATTTTACGACGGATCCAAATGCCGGGGAGCACTTTCAAATATTTAAATGTGAGAAAAAACGTTTTGAAGTTTTTTTCAAAAATTAAAAATATTCCAGGTTCTCTATTATCCATGCCAGTTTGGTTCTCAATCTATATATTTGCTAATGGTTTTGGTGCACTGGTTTTGTGGAGAATTGGCTCCTGAACGTTTCAGAACCCGACGTTTCGGAACCACGACGTTTCAGAACCTGACAGTTCAGAACCAGACAGTTCAGAACCCGACGTTTCAGAACTGTTCTGCATTTTTGTATAGTGGTTTTTGCGCACCAGATGAGCATTGCTCATTTCAATTTTGTGTTTTCCTGCTTTTTTGTCCATTCTCATCTAGCATACTCCAAATAATGAGAGGTTCACACTGGGAATCTCTCAAAAAATCGAAAAAGTTGAACTTTTAAAAAACGATGTCATTAATAAAGCCATTCAAAATGAGACTTCTATTCGCCGGAAAAATTATTGCGTACTTCTAGACATCGTTCTTGTAAAGTACAATTTTTTCGATTTTTTGAGAGATACCCAGTGTGAACCTATCATTATTTGGAGTACGGTAGATGAGAATGAAAAAAAGCAGAAAAATACAAATATGAAGTGAGCAATGCTCATTTGGTGCGCAAAAACCACTATACAAAAATGCAGAAAATTCAGGAGCCAAAAGAATGATGAAATATTTCCCAAATTATCAGAATTTTCAAAATTTCAGATTCTTTTGGATTGTTCGGATTTTTAGGTTTTTTTTATTTACTTTCGGAATTGCATTTTCGGCTTTTTTGAATATTTCAATTTTTGAGATTTCTGATTAAACTTCTCGGATTTTCTTTTGACATTTTTTCGAAATTTCTGAATTTTTCAATTATTGATTTTCTGAGTTTCCAATATTTTGAATTTCTATATTTTTCGAATTTCTGAATTTCCGATATACTGAATTTCCAATTTTTTGAATTTCTAATTTTTTCGAATTTCTGAATTTACGATATTCTGAATTTCTGAACTTTTCGAATTTTTCTTAAGATTTCGCAATCTTTTAGCCTAAATTATATCCAACTCTATTTGAGTTCTTTTATTTCTCTAACCAAAATCTCACCTTTTTTCAGCAAAACTCCATTGCCGAATTTCTAGGAATATTCAGTAAAATCAATTAAAAAAAATAGACCGGCGGAAAATCAGATACCAGTCAATGTGTAGAAGAATTAATAGTGAACGCTGGGCAGAAAAGAGGGGACACTAGGAAGCAAGAGAAAGAGACACAGACAGTGTGACAGAGGTTAGAGAGCATGTTGAGAGTGGAGGCAACAGCTATGTTTACTTTATTCGAGGTCACCTTATGAAAATAGTTCGCTGTTCTGGAGAGACGCAGAGAACCAAGAGAGACCCTCTCTGTCCATTTATTGGCCTTTTTTTCGGTGAACAGGAAAGTCTCAAAAAAGAGGTCACTTATGAAAATCGTGTGATGTTCTGAAGCGACGCAGAGGATTCGGAGTGACCTATCTGTCCACTTTTTTGCGAAAAAATCGGAAATAAGGAAATATGAAAATTTTAAATTTTGGCGCCAATTTGAATTTTGCAATCCTTCAACAAAAAAAACTAACTTCCACAATTTTTCTCCCCGTTTTTTCTCCAATGCTTCGGAATTTTTGAATTTTTGAATTTTTGAATTTTTGAATTTTTGAATTTTTGAATTTTTGAATTTTTGAATTTTTGAATTTTTGATTTTTTGAATTTTTGATTTTTTGAATTTTTGAATTTTTGAATTTTTGAATTTTTGGATTTTTGAATTTTTGAATTTTTGAATTTTTGAATTTTTGAATTTTTGAATTTTCGAATTTTCGAATCTTTGAATTTTCGAATTTTCGAATTTTTGAATTTTTGAATTTTTGAATTTTTGAATTTTTGAATTTTTGAATTTTTGAATTTTTGAATTTTCGAATTTTCGAATCTTTGAATTTTCGAATTTTTGAATTTTTGAATTTTTGAATTTTTGAATTTTTGAATTTTTGAATTTTTGAATTTTCGAATTTTCGAATCTTTGAATTTTCGAATTTTCGAATTTTCGAGTTTTCGAAATTTTGGATTACCTGAAACGCATTCAACCATTTATTTGCATAAATGACACCGCCCATCGGATCAACCAGTCCAGTCCATTTTTCATCAAATTTCAATTGAGGGTAGTGATTGGAAATCTGAAAAATAATTTTCAAAAAATTTTGAAAATTTGAACACTTGAGCTTTTACCTCATTTCCCGGAATCACTTCATGCTCAATGTTCAAATTTTTCAAATGTACAGAAATCTCGTTTACTTGATTTCCAGTAGCCGCCCACAGTAATCCGAGTTTGCTGAAAATTTTGGCGCCAATTTGAATTTTGCAATCCTTCAACAAAAAAAACTAACTTCCACAATTTTTCTCCCCGTTTTTTCTCCAATGCTTCGGAATTTTTGAATTTTTGAATTTTTGAATTTTTGAATTTTTGAATTTTTGAATTTTTGAATTTTTGAATTTTTGAATTTTTGATTTTTTGAATTTTTGAATTTTTGAATTTTTGAATTTTTGAATTTTTGAATTTTTGAATTTTTGATTTTTTGAATTTTTGAATTTTTGAATTTTTGAATTTTTGGATTTTTGAATTTTTGAATTTTTGAATTTTTGAATTTTTGAATTTTTGAATTTTCGAATTTTCGAATCTTTGAATTTTCGAATTTTTGAATTTTTGAATTTTCGAATTTTCGAATTTTCGAGTTTTCGAAATTTTGGATTACCTGAAACGCATTCAACCATTTATTTGCATAAATGACACCGCCCATCGGATCAACCAGTCCAGTCCATTTTTCATCAAATTTCAATTGAGGGTAGTGATTGGAAATCTGAAAAATAATTTTCTAAAAATTTTTGAAAATTTGAACACTTGAGCTTTTACCTCATTTCCCGGAATCACTTCATGCTCAATGTTCAAATTTTTCAAATGTACAGAAATCTCGTTTACTTGATTTCCAGTAGCCGCCCACAGTAATCCGAGTTTGCTGAAAATTTTGGCGCCAATTTGAATTTTGCAATCCTTCAACAAAAAAAAAACTAACTTCCACAATTTTTCTCCCCGTTTTTTCTCCAATGCTTCAATTTGAGTGTAGGCGTCTGCGACGAGAGGAACGTATTCTGGAGCAGCATGAGCATAACGAATAATTCGTGATTTTCCATGTGATATCCATTTGAATGGCCCAGAGTGAACTGGAAAATTTTGAGGTCATTTTTGAATTTCGAAATTTCGGAATTTTTCGATTTTTTGAATTTTTTGATTTTTGAATTTTCGAATTTTTGAATTTTTGGATTTTTGAACTTCCGAGTTTCAGAATTTTTGAAAATCCAACCTGTTCCAGGAGCAACGTTTGCAATCCGAGTTTTTGACAATGATATGCAGTACAGGACCCAAAAATACCAGCACCAACGACCACTACATCAAAAGTTGTGACCATTTTTTTCTGGAATTATTAAAAAATATTTTTGAAAAGTTTCCGAAAATAAATCGAAAAAATGTGCTTGTCAAAATTTCTGGTGCTATTTATTTGAAAAAAGTTTGCACTGATAAGAAGAAAAAGGTATCAGCTACAAGATTCATTTTATTGGAAAAACTACAAGATTCGAAAAAGAGACGCAGAGAAAAAAACCGGGAAAAGAGAAAAGTGTAGAAACGATTTGTCTGTCTAGTTTGTTTGATTTTGTGTGGAGTCTGGTTAGTTAATTTTCTCTTATCAGCAGGAAAAAATGATAATATGAAACTTAGTATTTTTGACAAATAATTCAGTGTAGTTTGAACTAAAACTTTTGTATTTCTGGAATTTCTTATCTTTTTGATTTACCGATATTCCGAATTTTTGAGAGCTCCGATCGGAGTCATCATTTAGAAAAAAAATTCAAAAATTCAAAAATTCAAAAATTCAAAAATTCAAAAATTCAAAAAATCAAAAAATCAAAAATTCAAAAATTCAAAAATTCAAAAAATCAAAAATTCAAAAATTCAAAAATTCAAAAAATCAAAAATTCAAAAATTCAAAAATTCAAAAATTCAAAAATTCAAAAATTCCGAAGCATTGGAGAAAAAACGGGGAGAAAATTGTGGAAGTTAGTTTTTTTTTTGTTGAAGGATTGCAAAATTCAAATTGGCGCCAAAATTTTCAGCAAACTCGGATTACTGTGGGCGGCTACTGGAAATCAAGTAAACGAGATTTCTGTACATTTGAAAAATTTGAACATTGAGCATGAAGTGATTCCGGGAAATGAGGTAAAAGCTCAAGTGTTCAAATTTTCAAAAATTTTTTGAAAATTATTTTTCAGATTTCCAATCACTACCCTCAATTGAAATTTGATGAAAAATGGACTGGACTGGTTGATCCGATGGGCGGTGTCATTTATGCAAATAAATGGTTGAATGCGTTTCAGGTAATTCAAAATTTCGAAAACTCGAAAATTCGAAAATTCGAAAATTCAAAAATTCAAAAATTCAAAAATTCAAAAATTCAAAAATTCAAAAATTCAAAAATTCCAAAAATTCAAAAATTCAAAAATTCAAAAAATCAAAAATTCAAAAATTCAAAAATTCAAAAATTCAAAAATTCAAAAATTCAAAAATTCAAAAATTCAAAAATTCAAAAATTCAAAAATTCAAAAATTCCAAAAATTCCAAAAATTCCAAAAATTCCAAAAATTCAAAAATTCAAAAATTCAAAAATTCAAAAATTCAAAAATTCAAAAATTTCCAATATTCAAATATTCAAGAATTCAAAACCTTGAAAATCTTAAATTCGGAAATTATGGGATTCGGAAATTCAAAAATTCAAAAATTTTCAAAAATTTAAAAATTTTCAAAAATTTAAAATTTCGGAAATTGAAGGCTCGGAAAATTCAAATTCAACATTTCAGAAATTCAGAAGCTCAAAATTCGAAATTTTAAAAAATTCGGAAATTCCAGAATTCAAAAAAATAAAGTAAAAAAATTCGAAATTTCCAATTGATTCTGAATGTCCAAAGTTTAGAATTTTCTTAAAAGTTTATTTCAACATCTAGCTGAAATATTCAAAATCTAGATTTCCGAATCTCTGAATTTCTGAAAAAAAATAACACAATTATTCATTTAATGAATTTTTATTCAAGTCAAAATTCCATTTTCAAGTTATCGACTCCTTGCTTAATTCGTTTTTTTTTCACGAGCACACAATTTCTTAGCCGTGGCTTTTCTTCCTTTTGGGCATTTGCTTCCAGCTGGTCCATAAAGATCCGGCGCGTTACTGAAATAGAATTGAAAGCTAACTTTTTTTTCAAAGAAAATAAACTAACGTTTTAGCGAACACAAGATGTTTATGAAATGTTTGATTCTCCGAACAATAAGTGGTCACAATGGCTACCTCTGTTCTTGAAGCACCCTCTATTATAAGGGGGACTTGTCTCCCCACAAGCCTTCACCAGAAAAATAGATATCGAGAGAATCCGTTGAAATATATTGCGTCTTTGGACATCCTCCGGTAAGTGCCAACTGCGCATAGATAACCTTCTCCAGTTCCGGATTGTACTCCAATTGGTTCATATTGGCAATCTCAGGTTTTTGACCCCCTGCGTAAAGGCAAATTCAAAAATTCGAAAATTTCTATGTCATTTTTTCATTTTTTTTAGACAAATTTTTTCGTGGACTAGATCTTATCTTATCTTAATTTTGTCCTCAAAAAAGCCACTCAAAATCGTCAAAACTTTAGTTTGGAAATCAATCAACCAAATGCAATCCGCTCTTCTCATTCTGGCCCTCCTGGTCCACACCGTCTACAGCTACAGTACCACCAGAGCTGAAACCCTTAAACTCTTCAATTCGGCGAGATCCTTGATCGCCAAAAATACTAAAGTCGCCAATATGATACAATTGGAGTACAGCCCAGCCCTGGAGGATATTCTTTATGTTAAGTTGGGAAAGACCGGAGGATGCTCAGATTCTAAAATAATTCACGACGAGTATAATTCAAGAATTCATGTGGAAGCACATTTGAATGTGAATACTGAAACGATGGATCAGCAATCATTTTCGAAACTTTTCGGAGGAGCTGACAAGCAAGTGATGGCTCATGTGGAGACGAAATGCATGGAAACTGGAAAAGAGGTGCATAGTTATGTGTTTTACAAAACGTTAGTGGTTTTTTGTTTTGAAAAAACGTTGAAAATTTTGCTTATCTCGCAATATAGAATGAATTGAATACAGTGTTCTTCATCGAACTTTTATTTCTCAAACACTTATCACATACATTTTTTCAGAATAAGAAATTTCTAAGCTTTTCGAAAACTTCAAGTTTCATGTTTCTGAAATTTTAATTCATTTTTTTAGAATTATTTTTCGAATTTTTGAATTTTCTAAACTTCTAAGATTTTCAATTTCTGAATTACTAAATTTCTGAACGTCTGGATTTCATTAATTGTTCTGAATTTTCTATTTCTCAATTTTCGGATTTCAAATTAAAGAGGGGTCATTTTTCACAGAGGGCCCTTCTATTAGAGGGACTCTTCTATTAAAGGGTTCCTTCTAATACAGGTTTTACGGAATATTTTTTCTAAGTTTGATTTTTAAGTGTGGGCGCCGTAAGCCTGTTTTTTAAAGACTACGCCTACATTTTACAAACTGAAAATAATTTTTAACGGCTGATTTTACTTTTAGGGGCCTTGTTTTTAGTATATCCCGATTTAAAGGGGGACTCCGACCAAAAATTTTAATTGCATTAAAATGTGTTAAAAGTTATCTATTTTCCGAATATTATTGCGAAAAGATTCAAGAAAAAAACCGAAATTCCCAAAAAACGGCGTTGAAAAGGAAGAAAATTCAAAAAAAGGTGTCGCCGGGGGACGAGGATTTTCAGTGAGAAACCTAGGCCACGGCAGCGGGCGCATTTCCAACGTGGCAAATTTTCCGGATTTTTTTCAATTTCATGTCCGGCAGGTAAAAAACGTAAAAAACCACTGTCGGCGACTTCAAAAAAGACTGTC